AAATTCTAGCCCACAAACCTTCTACTCCCAGTCGAGACTTAATCGTCTAACCTATGATATTGCAAATCGACATCCAATAATCAGAAAGTTCACCAGATGCACAACTGCACTTTTCTGAGGTAAAATCCTTAATGATCCTTAATGACTCGAAGATTATTTGGACAACTAACCTTATTTACTGAGGTAGCACATCAACAGTAACCTGGGCCCTTCCATTTGCTGAGTTTCAGGAGTCGCCATCCACTGATAAAAGAGTTGATGGTATGAGACAAACATCTAATCCAGCTTTTCCAGCTTTAACAAGATAGCAGTACATAATTTTTCCATTTAGTGGTAATCAGAGCGCCCTAAATATATTAGCTCTAAAAGCCTAGAACCGTCGATCAGCAGGTACGATTGCTTCGTCAGTAGACCAGTCAAGAATTTATTATACGATTCGCGACTTCGTTTTAGAACGAAATTTCACGTTGGTCATTGGGTGATTTCAGCCATGTAAAAAGAAGCTTGCTTTTACGTAATAAGTTGGTAAGTTTACCAAAAAACTTTATCACATAAAAACATGCGTTTGCAAAGTAATGACTAAGAGCTAATTTCTGAATTTTAGCTAGAATTCAAAAGGGTTCGAATTTTCACACAAACTGACCAAACGTTAATGTCATCGACAACTTACGGCACAGCTTCATCATAATCGGCAAGGTCATCGGTACAGCTGTCAACCGCACTTGAATTTTCATTAACTTCGTCATCGGTACATTTCCTGAAACATGCATCACTGCATATTTCATTTTTTAGGACCGTTCATGAAATACAAATTAATACGTTACTAAAGTAAGGGATTAGTTACTACATTTTCAGAAATTAATATGGAATCAGAAAAAATTTCCAGACTATTACCATTTCAAGCCAGAAACATACGAATTCAAATCACGAAAAATTAACACCTAATACATTTCTGTATGGGAAGCGAAGGGCAGTATGCGATTTATTAATTGTTGCTGATCACTGTAGAAATTATTTGGCTGGCGGCAAGGGCCAGTGCCTGCATTCGATATCCATCACGCCAGCCTGAAGGAGAAAGGAAAGTTCGTAATTAATAAGATACCGATCAACTTCCCATCACTCCACGCCACTACTGCCGCTGACATTAACTTAGCATTGTCCTTTAATGAAGCTTATAATGTCACGCTTATTCCCAGTTCTCTTTCACCATCGATGAGTGAGTGCACCTTCGCCACGAACGCAATATTTACAAATATGTGTTAAGTATAGCGCGTAGTTACCTACTTCTTTGACGTGTGATGGTAGTCATTTGATTTCTTTAGAAGTGACCCACCGAGAGGTATAAGACAAAGTCCCGAAGCCTTGGTTAGAAGTTGCTAAAGTGATACACGAAATATCTTAAGTTAATAATTTTAATAAAATATTTCTAGTAGCATCTGCGGTATAATTTAATCCACAAATTAAATTTTCGCATTAATAATAAACATTCAGTATCAGTACTTTCTGACCTTCATGATATCATCATTAGGTACGAAAACTGTCATTCCAAAAAAAGTGACCGGAAAAACATACACTGAGCCAAATCATTCGAATTTTACCTTACTGATGTACCAAACATGACCTAGGCACTGCAAAGAGTAAAAATCACATACTTTAAGCTTCATTCCAAACGGACCGGAAATCAAACCACAGATTACTCTCTATCATTAAAAAAACCCGGCCGTTAATAGTTGGCTATTAAAATAGGCTCTTATCGATGTTATCGCAGAGGTTACAAATATTTGCAACGCCTTCTGAAAGCGACCCAGCAAAGGATCTCGGAATATATAGTGAAGCAGCCTGCTCGAACAGTTTTAAAATTTTGAATTGAACACCCTTATCATTTCAAGTGAAAATTCCCCGGCGGATGCACAACTCAATATGATGATGCCATATGTGTTTAAAACCACCTTGGACATGAAGTAATGATTTATAATACCACTAATTCGACTAATGTTACGACACAAAAATGATGTTAACAGCTTATATTATGATAGGTTTTGCCAAGTGCCAGACGTACCATCAACAGGTAATATGTGATAATGATACAGTAAAAAGCTATGCAAAACAGATCTTCAGGTTCGCTAATATTTATTAACTATTGTATCCTACGAATAACCTTGTAAATAACAGCCTAGCTTCCAGAAAAGACGAAGAATATCCACTGCATGTAATGTTAATAAATGAATTAAACTGCAGCTTTGCAAATAAATTCTGTCACTAAAACGGTTTAAATGAATGCTATTCCCATCTAAAACAGCAACAATTACTCGTTAAACGGATATTCAACGCCAGTTCGACGATGGCTGAATGTTCTCTCTGACCCTGCTGACACAGGAAACGCTGTTTCATTTAAAAATAAAATAAAACAATTTATTAGTAAACAAAGCAAAGAGTAGTATGGCAAATTAGATAATACTACCCATGTTTCGGCCGGTGTCTCACGAGCCTTCTTCAAGGTAGAGTTTCAAAGGATTTCTTGTTGTCCAGAGCAATCAGGAAACTTGGGACTGGAAGGCAAGCTTCTGGTCCGTGCTGCTAGTTAAATAGTTTCAGATAGTGCAACCTACGCAGAGTT